CCTGACACTCATTCCATTGAAAGAGTACCAAAAATGCATGTAAAAATTTCTATTACGAATGTTATTTTATATAACTTCCAGAACTCTAATTCATCTACCTTTTTAAAATTTTAGCTTAGATGTAATTCATTTCTATCAAACTAAGTTTTTGAACTTTTAATTAGTATTCCCTTGGACAAAATTCAAGTTGAAGTTGAAAAATCTTTGCTGAAGTTGAAGTTGTTTTCGGATATTTTTGAAAAAAAAAAAAAAAAGAGGTTCGCTAGAGTTGCACATTTGTGAATGGAAGTTAGGAAAACTTCATTTGAGTTGAAATATACATTCGAGCCACTGGGTTCAAATTCTTTCCTAAACTTATGAAACACCAACTTGCAAAATTATGTAAGATTATTTGCAACTAACAAGTCCTTAATAATTTCCTTCCACTTTCACTAATATTATAATAAATAAGTCAGATTAACAGCTTAAACGCTGTGAGTAGTCAAACTTCACATAAAATGGGATAGAGGGAGTAGTAGAATTTGCCTATTGGTTATGTGAAGCCATTTGGATAATAATGATGTCTGTCAAATTGTTAGGTTCTCTCTTATCTCTGAATGGGCTGAGGTTGCGACAGTCATGTCTTGCCGCTGTAATGGGTGATACAACTGCAGTACCAAATGGTGCTGTTAACGAGCAAATTCCATCTGTGAAGCTGTCTGATTCAGTTACTAGTCAAGAAACTGATATGGAAAATGGAGAAGATAGGAAAGATCCTTCTGAATGGTTGGATGAGAATAAAATGATTCGAGTATGCGACAAGTTAATTGATGTCTTCTTGGTTGACAAGCCCAATCCTACTGATTGGAGAAGATTAATAGCATTTAGTAAAGAATGGAACACTATCCGGCCCCACTTCTATAACCGGTGTCAGAATCGAGCAGAAAGTGAGAGTGATCCTGGAATGAAGCACCAGCTACTCAGGCTTCAACGAAAGATGAGAGAGGTAACTAGCGCCTTTGCGAGCATGAAGTTTTCATTCTGTACGTGCCAAATCATGACTTAGTAACTGCTTTCATTTTCCAAAGAGACTCAATTATGTCAAACTCGTTTTGGAATAGTTTCAACTCTCCATGATAAGTCCAGATGTTATTATGTTGTATTTAAATGAGGTCCCTCTTTAAGGAAGTCCAAGCAAGGGCTCAGTTGAATCATAAATACTCAAAATAATCAATTATTTTATGTCTAGTCTTTGCTAATTGCAGTACATTGGGTTGAGGTGAACTTCTATGATCAATTTACATATTACGGGTCAAAGGATTGAGGATGATTTAAGGATTATTAGTGGATTTCTTACAGTATTTCTCTCATGTTATGATACAAATTCTAGATTTCGTTTGAGCTTGGTATGTTTTCTATTGAACTTCAACCAGTAACTTTCTTTTGTAGGTTGATAATGATGTTCAGAGGCATAACGAACTTCTTGAGGTAATCAGACGGTCACCATCCGAGGTTGGTGATATTGTTGCCAGGCGTCGTAAAGATTTTACAAAAGAGTTTTTTGCTCATCTTCACACTGTAGCAGAATCCTATTATGATGATCCAGGGGAACAGAATGGTAAATATGCCTCATGCCCGGAAAAGAAATAAATGTGGTTCTTCTGTTTGCTATATTTTTTTGGGGGTCATACTGCTAATAACTTTCAATTTGTTTTCTGCATTAAGACACTCTTTTCCTTTTTGCAAAATATACACTCTAGAAATGTTGTTTCCCATATATGAAATTGTTTACTCTTTACCACAACCTTGCCACATGTGAAGTCACCCCAAAGGACCAATGGAAAAAAGTGAGTAAAATATCAACTAAAAAGAATTTCTCTCTTGCCTTTGAAAGCAAATGCTACAATATAATATACAATGAGATAGAAGAAGCTTTGGAGAACCTTTGACTTTGGGAGTGTGAAGTTTCTCTTGCTGTAAATTTAAAAATTAAACTGCACGAGTTCACAAACATCATTTCCTTGATTTTCATAATAGTTTGTCTGATGTTGATAGGTTTCACTGACAAGATCTTCCCTTTTCTTAATAATTAGCTGTGGCAAAACTAGGCAATACGTGTTTGGCGGCTGTGCAAGCTTATGATACAGCAACTGAAAGTATAGAAGCGTTAAATGCTGCAGAGTTGAAATTCCAAGATATAATAAATTCTCCATCAGTAGATGTGGCTTGCAAGAAAATAGATGATCTGGCCCAGAAAAATCAACTTGATTCAGCACTGGTGCTCATGATAACGAAAGCCTGGTCAGCAGCCAAGGAGTCAGACATGACAAAAGACGAGGCAAGATCATGCTTTTCTTCAGATACACATCCATATGTCACTTCTTGCAGTAATTTTTCTGTCTTAGCATTAACTTAATTAAGAAGAGAGATGCTTACCGAAGTGATAGTATTCAAAATGACACAATTTTTAGTGATATCCCAACAATATTTTTTTGGGAGCTACTTGAGATTTGGTTGGAAAATTTTCTTCTCAATTCTGAAGTGTCCTTGGCTCTCCACTGGTGAGGCTATAGAAACAAAGAAGTTCGGGGCAAAGGTGAAAAAAAGGGAGTTTATCTCATTATTTAATACAATAGTGCTACAAATGATGATTAGCAAATGTTGCATGATTTTGCTAAAGAATGTGAACGTTAGTAACCTAGTGCCACAAGCTAAGGTTATCGTATCTGGAATTGGTATGGTGGAATAGTGATTGCTATTCTTCACGTTGACTAAAATGCTTATGTCCATTTTAAACTCTTAAGATGGTGCATAGGTAGTAGCTTCTGTGAGCTCATGCACCAAGCTGCTTTACTCTTGTGACCTAGCTTATATCATCTTGCATTTGAATAGAACTTATTGTTGGAATGCCTTTATGTTGAAGTTACTATTGGAATTTTACAGGTAGCATAGCAGGGTCTGCATCTTAGATGTGGTAGTTTAATGTCTTAGGATTTCAGGACAGATTGACCTAGCTGTAGCTGTAGAAGATAATATTCATTTGGCTGTTCTTATCCAAGTTACATGTCTTCGCTTTTCAATCTCTATTGTTTTTATGGAACTTTCACAAGGCCAGATGCCATTTCTATACAAGTTTGGTATCTCAGCACAGGTTGGCTACTCCCCCTCCCCCTTGCCAATGTGGAATTCATTTTTCTAACATGCAAATGGTTAGGCTTGTCAAATCTTTTTTTGCTTTTTTCAGGTAAAGGATGTCCTTTATCACTTGTATATGACAGCACGAGGAAATCTTCAGAGGCTTATGCCAAAAGAAATTAGAATTCTAAAATATCTACTCACAATTGAGGATCCTGAGGAGCGGTTGTGCACTTTGAAAGATGCTTTCACACCGGGAGAAGAACTTGAAGGGAAAGATGTAGATTGCTTATACACGTATGTACTGAATCTAATATCTAATCATTATTCTCTTTACATTGAATTTCTCACAGCATTCATGAAGTATCTTTAACCCGTTGCCTTGATGTGGAAGCACTTCTATCAGATGTATATCGTTCTGAAATTTTACATATTTTGGAGGCTATGCCTTTCCCTTTCATTTTTTTTTTCCATATTCACTTTTAACTGTTATTAATAAATCCCTGATCCTTACAGGACTCCAGAGCAGTTATACAACTGGATTGGGACAGTGGTGGATGCATATAATTTCAGTAGAGAAGGCACTCTCATAAAAGAAGCCAGAGATTTGATGAACCCTAAAATAATTCAGAAAATGGAGGAATTAAAGAAGTTGATCTTAGATAACTTTATGTGAGCATTTGCTTGCTTTTAAATAGCTATGGGACTGCTGCTCGTGCCAGATTCACCAGCTCGTGCCATCAACATCCATAAGCATATGTCCCAGCTATGGGTCTGCTGCTAGTGCCAGATGAGGTGACCACATGATTGCATCGCAGAATTGAACAGAAAGCTGATAGGTTCAATCTCCTCACATCGAAGAACTGTTCTTATCTCGGGTTTGTCGATATTCCTGAAAGTTTAAATATCCTAGACGTTGGTTTAGAAGAGGCACGAGTTGTCGTTGGTTGTACAGAACATTGAATTTTGTGTATGATAGAGCTTCTGTATTTTGGGACAGTGACTTGATGGCCTTTCGCCTACTCAACTTGTTTCCTGTTGAAGCTCAATTACGTCTGATTTTTGTACACGAATGTATCATTTATGATGAAGTTTATCACTATCATCAATGAATTTATATGGTGTTTAAAGTTGTACGAACTTGTCCAAGTGTTTATTCATTCATTCCTAGACAAAGTAGCCAAGTTTTAGAAATTTTATTTCCCATGCTTTATTACAGTAGAGAACTGCCAAATGAGTGAAGTTGAATGGTCTTTGCGGAGAAAAAGAGGAGGAAATGGCTTCCATGCACACTTACAATTTGAATAGAAGAAAATGATCGTGTAAATCTCTTGTGCATTATTTTCAAATCTATTATATGTACAAATAAAGATCTTTTATTAAAAAAAGACACAAGGCTAAAAAGAAATTTGTAAAAGGATTACAAAAACCAAGGTGAGAAACCAAAAGAGGAGAAAAACAGATCGCTCAAAGGATGAACATAGGTCAACGAATTTCGATTATTCGCATTATGCATTTAGCTTTTGGGACGTGTATGCATCTTTCATATTGTAAAATTAGGCGCATGAAAAGCCTCAAATTCAGGGAAAACTTTACATGATGTCAACTATTTTATATGCGAGAGCATAACATATTACATCTCAACAATTTAGTTTGATGAAAGTTTGGTCTCAGTTAATTAATGCTAATTTTGTTTGGGATTGAAGCATAATTGATCAGGACATGACGTGGTAACTTTCTTCTTTTTTTTTTTCTTTCTCAAAAAGGAGAAAAGAAACTTATTTTATAGCTTGTGCTGTCGTGGGCATGACGCGTTAAACTTTTTGTTATGTAAATGACGCGTTACACAAGTCACACTTTTGTGTCACATAATCATTCGAGTTGTGTAACCGTTTAATGCGATATTTTCTTATAAAATCAGATTTGCAGACGAAAAAAATTGAAGGGAAAGATGTCCCTTTAAATTATTCCTGTTACAGAACAATAGGTAATAGAACAATAATAATAGTAATAACTTCCAGTAAAACCAAGATGAGACTTCATAGGACTAAATGGCGCTATAAATGGCACTATAAAGGATGAGAAACTGAGTCTTGTAGCTTAATTTAGACATCCCTGAAGATGGAAAATAAATCACCATTGATATAATCGTTATCGACAAGGCTGACCAAGTAGTAACTGCTTTGAACCTGTAAACAAATTGAAAGAGCAATATTATCAGTACAGTAGGCGTTCAGACAATATTTGGTTGAAGTTTGAAAAAATGAGTATTTGAAGTTGAAGTTGAAAAAGTGTATATGGACGTGATTGGACGCAAAATTTTACTCGAAAAAAGAATTGCAGTGTTGTGAGTGAAAACTATTATTTCACTTGAAATACTCTTCAAGCAAGAATTTCAATACTTTACTAGCATTTCAAATACTTAAGTTTAGTATTTGCAAATACTGAAAGGAAGTCTTGGCATAATCGGTAAAGTTGCTGCCATGTGACCAGGAGGTAACGAGTTCAAGCAGTGGAACCAGCCTTTTGCAGTAATGCGGGGTAAGGCGTATTTGAAATGCTAGTAAAGTATTGAAATTCTTGGCATAATCGGTAAAGTTGCTGCCATGTGACCAGGAGGTAACGAGTTCAAGCGGTGGAACCAGCCTTTTGCAGTAATGCAGGGTAAGGCTACATACAATAGACCCTTGTGGTCCTGCCCTTTCCTAGACCCCGCGCATAACGGGAGCTTAGTTCACCAGACCGCCGTAGTATTTGCAAATACTGATGGCAAATTTCTACTTGCAAACAATGACTCGAGTATTTGCAAGTGAGGTCATGGTCAAGTACCATAGGATTAACGAAAAATTATAAATTGTTAAATCAAAGACTTGAGACAGCAAAGCAAGTGTATGAAAGAATACATACTTGTTCAAGCAATTTTCTTGATGGATCAGTCTCTGGGTATAATTGAGCCCATCCTCTTGACCAGATTTCAAATGCTTCATCCTTCCATACCATGAAACTGGCGGGATCAACGACAGTCGGTTGTACAATTTCCTTAGCTGGGAAGACTCCCCATGTCACCGCATTGACGTCAGTTTGGCTGATGTTGGAAATCCAGTTTCCTTCCTTGTTTACAGCCATGTATGTTAGGTAGGGGAAAGCCTTGCAATTTTCGACGAGGGTGTTCAACTTCTCCCCGGAACAGAAAAACTCCAAGTAAGCCTTTTGATAAACATATCCACCGGGACCACCCCATCCTGCAGATAGAAAAAGTAAATAATCTCGTAAACAAATAAAAGGAGAACCTTGACGTAACTGGTAAAGTTGCTGCCATGAGACCAGGAGGTCATAGGTTCAGACCGTGGAAACAACCTCTTGCAGAAATGCTGGGTAAAGCTGCGTAAAATAGACCCTTGTGGTCCGACCCTTCCCCGAACCCCGTGCATAGCGGGAGCTTAGTGCACCGGGCTGCCCTTTTGTAATCTCGTAAACAAAAACGCTATATAACCAAATCCCATGTCATGTATTTATAAAGAATCAGCATACATGTCATGGAAAAAGCAAAATGTTTTTGCAATAAAAAGAAGGCTGACTAAAAGGATGTACAGCTCGTAGATAAGTAATGAGGTGATAAAATGGCTGCTATAATCAAATCCCTCGTCATGTAGTTATAGGATGAGGTGATAGGCATCCTAAAAGCGCTAAGCAGGACGTGACATAAAGATAGTTAGCAACTACTACAACAACAACAACAACCCAGTAAAATCTCACAAGTGATGTGAGGTCTGGGGAGGGTAGTGCGTGCGCAGACCTTATCCCTACCCGGAGGAGTAGAGAGGCCGTTTTCGAAAGACCAAAGATAGTTAGCAACTCAAAAAGATATTTTGGGAACAGGCGATCTCATCTCAAGAATTTATGGACTCGTTTATTAAATAGTGTAAATTGAACTTTGACCATTCAGTAGAAGTTAATTGGTCTCTTTTCCTGGTTGATGAAGCAATGAACAGATTTTATCCTGACAAGCTCCCATAAGAGTTGTACAAGGTCTTAAAAAAGAAAAGAGTGAAACAGATGCAACTCCTAGCAGACGGGATGTACGGGTTAGACATTTGAGGGTATTGGACAAAGTTGACTAGAGAGGACTAAGCCTTGTTGAATTCCAGTGCATATTAGCGGAACTGTTTTACTTTTTGTACACTTTTGGAGGTCCTACAATATTTCAGTTAGTAATAGTGACCGATGCTTGCATCAGAGTAGGCTGCCTACATGACACCCCTTAGGGTGCGGTCCTTCCCCGAACCCTGCATAATCGCGGGATGCTTCGTGTATCAAGTTGCCCTTATTAGTGACTAATGCTTTTGGTTGAGAATCATATTTTTGTGTAAAACTCTCGATTTTCTGTATAAAATCTTGTATGAAATGTTTTCCTCTCTCTTTTGAGACATCTACTATCTGATTAATAACTTTAGGTTCAATCAATCGAAAGTAAGAGAAGAAAAATGATGGAATTGTGCGTACCAACAGAAGGAGAGTCAGACTTCTCAGCATTAACTGCAGGTTGGCTGTTAATAGTCAGGAAACCTTTCGTATTGACATGACCCAACTTTTCGTTTATGATCTTTGTCTCTGGCTGAAGACCATCTAGTTCAGACCAAGGGCAGTTTCTCAGCTTCCCAAGACAGTAGTCCTTAAATTTCTGATGTGAACATTATGCAAGTATCAAGCCTTTGAAACCAGTCTTTGGTTTTGACAAGAAATGAACTGTATCCAAAAATCATACCTCATAGATATCTTCCACGCTATTCAAAGTTACAACCCATTCCTCTTGCAGCTTCTTATCACGTGAGCGTGCACGCATGAACTGTAGAGGTCAAAAGAAGCTATGTTACAGATAACAAATGTACCAAAATAACTCCTCAGGAAAATGCACAAAAATGCCGATTGTATCTTCACTTTGGTTGACCGGATTAATGATGACTATGCAAGCACTAAAAAAGGAAGGATAATTTAGGAGGACAAGAAAGCTTATAAACAAACTTAGAAAAGTAAATCAAGTTTACATATTTCCTTCTTTTTAGTAGTGCCTAACCTAGACAGTTCCCGCAGTATTTCACAAACAATATTAGAAGTTCAAATGACTTTGATTTTGCCTCAAGCAACATAAGCGCTGCAAAAGATAAAACAAAATTCCATGTCACATCTTCCCAAGGCCAAACGCCGTTCGTGATGTAACGCTAAGATATATTTAATTTATTTTTTTTTTTAAAAAAAGGAAAGATAGCTCAGGGTATGCACAAGAAGGTATGTGATATCCTATAGTATCTTCTGTTAATCCGACATTTATTCTTATACGAACAGAGCAAGTTGCAATTACCTGATAGTCAGTAAGTGCTCCGTAAGATGGATTTTGAGCATTGCCCCATCTACCATGTGGATATTCATCCCAACCTAAGGTCCTTGAGATGTAGCTCTTTGGACGATTTGCCCTACCATCATTGACGACGATAGATCAGATTATCATCACAAAGTAAAAGGTGTATTCTGACATTAATTCACATCTCTACGTACCAGAATATAGGACGAACATCTTCTTTAACACGGAAAACATTTGTAGGACGTCTCCAAGGCAATGGCCTAGAAATTTGGGACTCTTCTATTAATCCAAGATTCTGCATATCCAAGACATCTCACAATTGTGTTGAATTCTTGCATATACTAGAAATAGTGAAAATCTCAAAGTAGAAAGTTCAAAAGGTAAGAGAATTAACCATCAAAATGGCTAGTGCTGATTTATCCATGTTTAATGTATAAAGATGCAAAGTCTTAATGCCGCTGGCCAAAATCTTTTTGCACATTTCTGTTCCAAGGTGAATTCCATAGGCTTTGACAGCCTCCTCGTTGTCCTTAATAGGTTCCAACGCAGCCATTATCTCTTCTGGAATCTACAACATAATAAAGGAAAACTGAGTATCTACGAAGCTGAAGCCGAAGCTGCTAATCAGCCATTAAGCAAGCATCAAACATGATCAACTTATCATCTTAATCAGCAACACCGTTTACGTAAAACAGAACAACAGGTAAGGAAAGCATGGCCATTTAGACACTGATTCAAAATGCTAATAACTCAACTAACATATTCAATTAAGGAAGACGACTCACAGTGTTACAGCAAAAGCAACAGATGGAAAGAAGATGTAAAAATCTAAAATATGGGGATACCTTAGTCTTGCAAAATCCAGTCATGCGCAAGAAGCCCTTGTAATTGTTAATGGGCATGATACCCGGGACGATGGGGCAAGTAATTCCAAGTTGGCGGCAATCGTTGACAAATTTGAGGAAAATATCAGTATCATAGAAGAGTTGAGTTACGATAAGATCAGCTCCAGCATCCACCTGTAGAATAAAAGTTAACATAAGTACCAAACTCATAAATAAAACAAAAGCTATCTAAAATATTCCTCTTGTTGTCAAATTAATAATAACATACATCAAAAAAAAAATAATAATAAATAATAATAACATACATCGGATGACAATTATAATGCTGGGAATAGACTACCTTTCTTTTGAGATAAGCCAGGTCATTTTCATATATCTCTTGTGTAGCTATTCCATTAGCAGGTATAACATCAGGATGTGCCTCTGACAAAGAATCAAATTAGTAGTCAGTAACAGCACACAAAACATCAGAAAACAACTCATTTTTGCTTCAAAACTAACGTGGAATAAGTAAATCATGGTCCATATTTGTCCAAATAAATAACTCAAAGCCCAAGATCTTAGTAGCTAACCTGGATAACCAGCAACAGTTATCCCAAAGTAGTCCCCATACTTGGCACGAATATGCTTTACCTAAAAACATAAAAGAAAATCAATTAATACTAACACAAAAATATTATACCAGGCGAAACATAATTACTGTTTTTAGCAATTAAAAATGTGCTCCCTCCAAAAAGTTCAAAACTTTTAGACGAGGTGGTTGCACAATTTAATATGGTATCAAAGTATGTAACAGGTCCTCTGATCAAATCTCATTGCCCCAAAAAGCAAAAAGTATTTCGATAAGTTGGGTCCTAGAATCAAGCTCACACGTGAAGGGGCGTGTTGAGACACATTGTAATTTTTTTCCAAGATATAATATAATTAAGTAAATCGGTTGTGATTGCAGTTCGTGTCAGGATATACCGTGGCTAGTAAGTCATTTTTTTTGCAAAAGTGTGCTCGCTAACATCATTAGATGTGTTGGGTCCATGAATCAGGTCCACACGTGAAGGGATGTGTCGAGGCATAATATAATTAAGTGGCTAAAAATTTTCCCTATCACTAATGGCTTAAACTTTTAGATGAAATGATTACACAATTCAACAGGTAGAATATCTACAACATTGATAAGGTGGTTGTACAATTTAACATGGTATCAAAACAAGCAAACAACAAGTCCTGAGCTAAAATCTCATCGCCACCCAAAAAGCAAAAAATATTTCAATGAGTTGGGTCCAAAAATCAGGCCTACATGTGAAAAAGGACAGCCCAGTGTACAAAGCATCCGGCATTCACGCAGGGTCCGGGAAAGGGCCGCACCCCAAGGGATATGATGTAGACAGCCTACCCTAATGCAAGCATTAATGGCTGCTTCTACGGCTCGAACCCGTGACCTATTGGTCACAAGGAATAAATAAGTAATTAAAAGTGTGTTCACTCTAACAACTTAAACTTTTTCATATGTTGGGTCCATGAATCCGGTCCACGCATGTTGAGACATAATATAATTAAGTAATTAAAAGTATGCTCTATCTACCAACTTAATCTTTTAAATGAAATGATCATATAGTTCAACAATTCATAATAGCGTACTCTGATGCGAGCATCAATGGCTGATTCCACAACTCGAACCAGTAACCTATAGGTCACACGTACACAACTTTACCATTGCTCCAAGGCTTCCCTTCAACATAATATAATTGAATAATTAAATATGTGATCTCTCTAATGGCTTATATTTTTCCATATGGTGAGTCAATGAATCAGGTCCACACTTGAAGGTACATGTCGAGACATAATATAATTAAGTAATTAAAACTGTGTTCTGTTTAACAGCTTAAACTTTTAGATAAGACAGTTACAAAGTTCAACAATTACAATATCTACAATATCATATTAGACTACTAGATCTCAAATACAAGTGGGGTACATAGTAGTCTAATAACAAGTCCAGTATAGTTACACAAGTGGAGTCTAGGGTAGATAGTACCCGGACCTTATCCCTAAAGTGAACATAGAGAGGTTGTTTACACTAGACCATCGGCACGAGGATACTAGATCCCAAATAAAACAAAAAGAATTAAGTAGAGAAATTACCAGATCGAGGGCACAAGCAAAACCACCTTCAACTTGAACAAACTTATCTTGACCGTGAGGAGGATCACCACGAAGAGCGAGAACATTTTGAATACCATTAGTCTTAATAGTATCAAGAGCATGATCAATTTTCTCAACAGGCATATTTGTACATGTTAAATGCATCATAGTTTCAACACACACCATATTTTGCATTCTTTTAGAAATCTCAAGAGTTAGATCTGCTGTTGAACCACCTGCACCCCATGTTATATCACAAAATGATGGATTGTGTGCTACCATTCTTTCCATTCTTTCGAATAGATTTTCAACCCCATCTTCTGTCTTTGGTGGGAAAAATTCAAAGGAAAATACTACCCTGTTTTCATCTTTAGCTGCCTCTTGGATCTTCTCAATTACCTTCATCTTTTTGTGTTGCAAAATTGAGAACAGAATGAAAATGTTCAAGATTTGACAAGAATCTTTAAAAAAAAATGTAGCTTTTTAGCAGCTGCTGCTAATTGGGTACAGAGAGGCAAGTGAAGAAGTGCCGTCAGGATGATATATAAGTAGAAAGATTGAGAAGTTGGTGAGTGGTGGGCTACAACTATAATAATATTAGTAAGAGTTAATACCCTAAAATCGCCTAAACTATCACGTTTTCGTCAGTTTTCTACTTAATCTATTCAGTGTTCCTAAAATCTCGTGAACTATATCCCTTTAGTTATTAAAAGCCCCCTCGTTACTTTTTTGGCAAAATGTGTAAACTAACTCGTTTAAAGGCGCATGGAAGATGAAATTATCCATAAAATGGCCCCACCTGCCCTACTTCTAACGGCTAATTAGTGTTAGATATTTAATTTCTTTTTCCTTAGCTTTTTTAAATCTCAAATCTCTGGTTAAACCAAAAACTACAGTGAAATCAAATGTTAGTGTGAAAAAAACTACAATGAAATCAAAGGTTAATGGTGAAAATCCATATTGATTGAAGGGGTAACCATTGTTGGAGGAGATGGAAGAACAAAGGCTTTTACCCATTTTTTATTTTTGATTATTACTTCAAATCATTAAGTAAAATAATAATTAAATTATGCTTAACTAAGTAGCCACGTGTTGTAAACTCACAGTTTAAAGTTAATTGGGAGCGTGCATCATACACAGCTAGAAAAAATCGACGAAGGGGTTTTTAGTAACTAGGGAGATATAGTTCAAGGGGTTTTGGGGACACCGGATAGATTAAGTAGAAAACTAACAAAAACATGATAGTTTAGGATGGTTTTAGGGTATTAACTCTATTAGTAAGTGCATTTTTTTTCATCACAATTTATTTGATTTTGTTTGACTATTTACAAAATTTAAGAAAGAAAAAAAATATTTTTTTTAATATAAACAGGTCATAAATATTTATCTCAATCTTTATTGTCTCATTAAGTGTAAAATAAAAACTTTAAAATTAAATTATTTTTAAATAAGTAGAAGGATTAAGAAGTTAGTCTATTATTGTCAATAATAGACTATTGACAAAATTTAAAAAATAATAAAAACTTCATAATCTTAGCATGTCATAAATATTTGCTTTAATATATATTATCTCATTAAGGGTAATAAAAATTTAAAATGATATTGTTCTTTTTTAACACATTAAAAACCAAAATGACACGCAAAAATAACTAGTGGTTAGTGGAGTGAGTTAAGAATGATGAGATCTTAAATTCGAATTTTCGCACAGAAAAAAATACTAATGGAAAATTCTTTGTTCTTATCTATGCAAGTCTTGTTGAATAAAATTATGGGAATAACATATGAAATTAATCGAGGTGTACAAATAGATCCGAATATTATGATTATTGAAAAATATAAATTGTGTCACATGATGGAGTAACAATTACGTTCATTTCCTTTCCATTTCTTTTTTGACTTATTATTGGTTTTGGGGGCCTACTCAACAACCCAAGTTTTTTTTTTTCTTTTTTTTTTCTTGATAATAAACAACCCAAGTTGCTACAACCTCCATATCTATCCTTTATTTTAAAAAATAAAAATAAATAAATTGAGTGAATCATAAAGTTTTGTGCACATGATTCATTAATTAATCAGATCTGATTTTGTGCTGTCCTTTTAAGAAAGATATTAGAGCTCGTTTGGATTAACTTGTTAAAAGTATCTAATAAGCATTAACAAATAATTTTAAGTGTTAAAGCTAATATCATAAATAAATAATTACGTATTTGACAGAAATATTGAAACTAATAATAAAAAGTAATAACTTAACCATAAAAGTTTTTATGTAAACTATTATTTTCATCTCACTTAGTTAATACTCCACTAATTTGAATAATACAAGTAATGACTTCTTTTTCAAAACGTATAATGTCTCAAAATTCAGCTTACTTGTTACATTGTATAGATTTTATTATAATTTTCTTGTTCTATATAGCTTTAAAAGTCTTGTATTTTATTTTTATAACATCTCGCAAAGGTCGGATAAGTTGGTTAGGCGAATGTTTTTTCATATGGGAGATTTGCGATTGATTCCTCTCACTAGCAGTTTCCTCAATCAGAGCTCATTGCACTGGGCTTGCCTAGTATGTTTTACATCTCCTGTGTGGTTTGCGACCTATTCCATGCTTAGCAGGTTCACCCAAAGGGTAGCGGCTTCGGATCTCCCCGGAAATTTTCCAAAGTCTTTAATTGATCAATTTCTTTTCTTTTTTAGATTATTATTGTAACATATTCTTTTTACTATGGTTATTGCAAGGTTAAAAAAAATTAAGATTTTTATATCCAATAAAAAAGGTTTAAAATCAAAGGAAAAGAATAAGTTAGATGACGTAGTTTGTAGGCTGTGTTTGTCGGTAGCTCGATTCTTTCAATTTTGAGCCTCTAAATTACAAGGGAGGTTGGTACAATTTGCCTCTTCTGCTATCCACTGGTTCACCCGTCTTTTGTTTTCCTCATCCGATGATTGTTGTTTGAATAAATTCGGAACGACAATTTTCACGTAAAACGCTTTTAATAAATATAATTTTATATTCCAAGACTCGAAACATTAAAAATGAGTACTTATTATCTCACCACAATTTTATTGATAATCGGTTCAGTGTTGGTTTCTTTCTCTTGAGGTAAAACCAATACATTAAGGGCTCGTTTGGTACAAGGCTGTATTGTGGTCCGGTCACGGGCCTCAATGGGCTAAACGGTCCCGGGCTCTAGCGGGCCGGGCCCAAGTGGTCCCGGGCTTAACGGCCCTGGAGGGTGGAACTGGCCCACTGTTGGCCTAAGCTCACATGGTCCCGGGCCCACGGGCCTAAGTGTTCCAGACTATTTTTTTTTTTGAATTTTTTTTATCTAAGGCAATTTCTTGTAAATTATATTATATAATTGTGACTTAAATCTTCTAATTCAAATTTAAACAAAAAAAATTGTAAAGAAATATTCAAAGGAATGCCTTATAATTTTTTTTTATTACGACATTAACAAAAAATGGCAATATCTTTCTTAGTCTTCCACTCCCCAATGGAATGAGCACAACAAGGTGCTAATACCACCATTAAAAGGAAAAAAAACTAATGAAGATGTGGCCAAAATACAAGTTACATATTAGTCTACATATTATCTCTAACAAATTTCATAAAATCCTTCAAGGTTCGGAGGAATTTTCGTTGGTGGTGGCAGAAAAGAAGCTTGTTCATCACCGCTTCCGGGCGAAGCAGCATCCTCCGCAAGTTCCGCTAGCATTTCTTCATAAGCTTCGTCTATCTCCGGTTGTGATTCAGCAAGTCCAAAATTTCTTCTTTCCGAACGGATCCAATCTCTGAAGAGTACTGATTTTTCCAAGCTCTCCCTCATAGACGCTCTATGATCACCGATTTGAAGTCTCACTTGACTGAAAGCGCTATCCGATGCCACTGTTGAAGCTTGAATACTTAAAATATCTCGAGCCATCCTTGAAAGAACCGGATAGTGTTTTTCTTTGTCCTTCCACCATTCCAAAACATCAAAGGAGCCGTCAGGATTCTCTGATTCAAGTCCCTGCGACAAATAAACTTGAAGCTCATTTAGTTGTGAACTATCACCGATATTATCACCTTGAGAACCCCTGAACCCCGTCCAAGAACTAAGTGTTTTTAGGCCTGCAGTTCTTTTAACATTAGTCCAATCCTGATTTGTAAGGTGCTCATCATCATCACCACCAACACGAGCATTAAACATTGCGTTTATTGGGTTTCTATATTCATATGCAACAACTAAGCTTTCATACATATAATTCCATCTAGTCGGACAAGCTTTAGAAACCTTTCTTTCTCTAAGGCCAAACTCATCACATTTTCAAAATATTCTCTAAGTCTACTTCTACGGTTTGAATAAAAAAGCCAATTAAGAGCCATTTTAACCTTTTCAATTTCAACATTTAAAATTTTTATACCATCACCGACGATTAAATGGTAAATATGACAAATACATCTAACATGGAAAATATTACTAAATGCAGGATTTAGTGTAGTTGTAAGCAAGTCTATAGCATTAGTGTTACTAGAAGCATTATCCATTGAAACTGACATTATTTTATCTCTAATGCAAAAATATCTACAAATATCTGCAACTGTGTTAGCAATAAACTTACATGTGTGACGTGAATTAATTGTTCTATAAGCAATAATGCGCATTTTCCATTCCTCATCAATCCAATGAGTGGTAACAGTAAGATAATCACAGTCATTACCACTTTTACCAATATCAGTAGTAATAGCAATGCGACAATCTATATGAGTAAATAAATAGTGCAAATATTGTACATATTCATGTTTATATTTATAAATGTCGCTCTTTACGGTTGCGCGAGGCCATCCTTTATAAGCAGGATTAAAAACTCTTCTAATATAATGCACAAAGTGAGTGTTAGAAGGAAAACTATAGGGTAAGCACATAACAGTAACCATTTTTGCCAATTCTTCACGATCTTTATTTGGATCGTAATATAAAATGCCACCGGTAACAGTGTTAATTCCCAGTTGAACTAGATTTGACCCGGCACTAGGGTTAACCTGAGTACCTACACTTGTCCCCTCTTGCGCAGCTTTCATTTGAAGAAATATAGCTTTATCTTTAGGGTGTGTCTTTATGTATCTAGTCAAAGCACCCGTACCGTTACAGTCTCCAGTAAATTTATGAGCCATCAAAGTCCCACAAGTTTTACACTTAGCCTTATTTTGATCTCTTAGTTGAATAAAAAAGTGCCAAACAAGAGATGTTTCTTGCCGTTTAGAAGGTTGTCTATTAAAAGTAGGGGTTACTACAAGAGGGTCAGGCGGGCCATCATTTGGATTATTATCAGTTGGGTTAACAACAGGACTAGTAGGTTTATCATCTAAATCCGATTGCGTTTCATCTAAATCATCATTTTACTCATCATTTTTATCGGTAGTTGGATTACCATAAAGAGTATTCATGTATTCACCATTTAATTGTTGACCTGGTCAATATCATGGTAAAATTGACTATCGGTAAATTAAAAACAAGGGTTATCACTATCAAGAATAACAGGTGGAGGAGGACGGGTAACA